GGAAAAAATATATTCAAGAGGATTATGACTTACAATGGAGCTAGTACCAAAAGGTAATTTATGACTTTTATCGGGACGACATGAGGTACAATTATTCGGTGGAACAGAATTACGTAAAGGAAGCGAAAATTGTTTAACAATGTGAGAAACAATTTTCTGAGCAGGATGACCCAAACGACGATGCCAAGTGTCGGTGGAGGTACGCTCACCCACATTGGCAATAATTGATGACTGTGTTTTGGCTAGAGGCGGAAGAGGATAGACACCATTTTCACAATCACCGCGTAGCAGTATCGCCCCCGTGGTCCGATCCTTCACAAAAAAATAATCAGGATGAAATTCAATTAGTACATTATTGGACTTGGTAAAATGATGCACAGATATAAGATTCTTATGCATTTCAGGAACACATAAAGTATTGGTAATATGAAATGAACGCGAGGGATAAGAGAGGCCAAGAGAGCCAACATGAGTAACTGATAAACCTTTATCATCTTCAATTACTACTTCATCAGTGCCATCATATTCAGAGTGGATGGAGAGGTTAGACAAATCAGATGTGATGTTGTGAGACGCACTAGAGTCAACCAACCATTTCTTGTCTTTAGCAAGTGATTTACCAACGAAGTTGGCCGCACCAGAGGTCGAGGTAGATAGCTTTGGACAAGATTTAGCAGTGTGGCCAAGAGTATCACAATATTGGCACTTGGGCTTGCGAAAACCATCACGGGATGAGTGGAGTCGGGTCTGACTCGATGAAGTGCCTCGAGTGAAGTTTTTGCGATGGCCACGATAGGTGAAATTGCCACGTGTTGCTGGGTTCGCTGTAACAATCAGCGTATTGGTGGCAGATTCAAGGCGCTTGAGATATGTCTCATGACCAACTAACATGTCGTGCAATTCTTCGAATGTCAAGGAAGTGGTGCGAGTGCGGATAGGAGCAACAATGTCACGATAATCAGGACCTAGTCCATGCAAGACATAGAGTGTAATATCATCATCAGATAGAGGAGTATCAATGAGAGCCAATTCATCCACAATGCATTTGATACTGTGGAGATAGTCAGTAATGGGTTTGTCACCACGTTGCATGAGAGTGAGTGCCTCTTTAAGTTGCATGACGCGTGTTCGTGACTTGTTGGCATACAAGCGAGAAAGCTTGTCCCAAGCGTCACGGGAGGTTTTTGCCGAAGCAATAAGAGGAGCAATTTGTTTCGAAACAGAAGCCAAGATGGCATTCAAGAGAAGCTGATCCTGTCTAAACCAGCGAGTATAGGCAGGAACATCATTTGCCGAAGTGGTTTTGGTGGGTACAGCTGGACATAGGAGGGTTCCATCAAGATACCCCATAATACCGTACCCAAAGAAGAGGGAAGAGAAAGTAGCACGCCAGGTTGGGTAGCTGGAGGTGGTGAGGCGCTGTAATTGGCTAGTGTTTATGGAGATTAAATGTTGTTCAGAAGTCTGACCACCAGTGGGGTGAGAGACAACCGGAGAAGTCATGGCGGAAGCGGACGGATCGTACTCGTTAGAGTCAAAACGCTCTGATGCCATAAAGAAGAACAAATGATAAAGAAGGACAGATGTTCTGCTGTAAGAAAAATACTTTGTGTATTACAATTGTTTGGCTTTTGTACACAAATTACAATGAGGGCAGCAAGCTATATATATACATAAACCAAAAAAGCTATACTAGGAAGCCTATTAATAGTGAATCAATATACAAGGAATAGCAGCAAATTTACAGCAACCGTGTCCATGATTTGTGCCTGTAGACTGGTTGATTATCCATGATTTTAGAGATGATATTAACAGTCCATGATTTGCTCCTGTAGACTGGTAGTGTGACCAAAATTATAGAGTTAAGATCAAGGATCCTTTTCATTTCAAACTAATCATAGAAGCTAAAAGTTTGATTAATCGAAAATAATTATATTACATGAATTTATTATTTAGAGTTTCCAAGAGTCTTGAGAAGAAGGTGTCCTATGTATGCCCATTATTCTTAAATGATCGAATCCATAGATAACTGCTAAAAGTTGTCAAATTCACGAAGTTGGTACGAAATTGCTGGATTAATAAACAGAAAGGTGAATAGGCAGGATTATAAAATAAATTTTTTAAGGTAAATCTGCAAAAACTAAATATCGAAATATATGACATATGAGGGTTTTGACTACTTTTTAGCAATGTTGATGATCTCTTAAGAAGGAACCTCAAGCCTCAACAAATCGAGTTTTTTATTTTTATTTTTTTGTTTTTTTTAATGCACTTTTCGCTTTCAAAAAGTATCTGACAAACAATTTCATGTGTGTTTTAGAGGATAATTAGAAGACGCTTATTTTTCTTATGAGGATATTCAAATTCGAGTTGAGATATGCTATTCAAAATTAGTTGTGCATCAATGATTCATTGACTCATCATTTTATACCTATTTTTAAGCATAAGTGGGTGTGAGAAAAGTTGGACATGTTAATTTAAAGTGATGTGTCAATTAATCATTGGATGGACGGTAAGTTGGACAGTTAATTTTGAACTACAGATCTCAAGTCTTCAAATTTGGTAATATCCTTTCTCTTTGTCTTGCTCTATTGTTCGCACAAAACCTGAGATCGGGAGGGCTTGAGAGAAATGACTTGGTTGGCCATTGCTCTAGGGTTCTAAAGTTGGGTCTTGGAGTTGAGGAAAAACTTCTATGGTGCATATCGTGTAGCCGGCTAGACTTAAATTATTTTGATATGATTGATAGATATAAAAACTTTTAGAAACATGCTATAGGTACATTTTCTTTGACAGCTTCCTTGACAGCCCTCTCACATTAGGAGGTGGGGCCGGTGATTAAAACACATCTTGTGAGGGTGCTGCATTTCCCAAACTTTTATTTCACACGTCGACAAATTTGATGACATGTCATTCGTTCTTAATTTTGCTTGCTTCGCTTAAGGAATGTAACACAAGGAAAGAAAGTCATTTTATTAGAATTAGGGTTAATGGAAGGTCACGTCATTAGTAAGATGGGAGGATAACAAGATGAAGCAAGTGGGTTGCATTGCTTTTCTTACAGATTAATAAATCACTTAGTTGGGTTTTGAGATTCAGCAAAACTCATTGAGAGTACAAAATTTCTTGAAATTGAAGCTTCTTGGGTTCGTAACTATGTATAGGTTTGAAGGAGAATATATTTGGCACGACAATTTGTAATTCACGTGGGGGGTTTGACTCTTATTTTGATCCATTTGTTTCGGCAATTAGCATCAAATTCTAGTAACCCAAGATTTCAAATGCTAGGGATTCCTCTATTATCATTCACATTTAGAATACACTTTCGTACCCTCATATTCGAAATTTAAATAGAATTTCATTGAAAATTAGAATAATTAGTAATATCAGAATATAACCCTCTGTTTGTTTCTCATTCTTTCTTTATTAAAATAAAAAATATGACCGTTATCCATCACATCAAGTTATCAAATTTGAATTTTTATCTTTTATGTGGAACCCGTAACAGTTATATTTTTCATTCTCATTCTTTCGAAAATGGAAAACAAATGGGCCATAATAACAGAATTTCAACAATTAAACGTATCGAATGTGCTTCTGATATGACCCATCATAAAAATTCACGTAAGTATATAGTCAAAAGCAATTAAGATGAGGTTCTTTTTATCTAATGAACTTTATAAAAGCTAGTTAAGTTGTGCAATGATAAGTAGGATTCAACTGACCCACTCTCCTCAACTATCTTACTGCCTGTTTGGGTGGATCCAACAAAAAGAAATGAGCATAATCGTCACGAAAATAAGTGTAATTTAAAAGAACAATCACTCGACTAGTCGAAATATATTTTGTAAAATCTGTACACTATCAACAAGAAAGATGCGATCTTTATGATTGCCATATCGAATAATCTTGTTTAAAGATTTTAACATTTATATAAAAGATATCAACGTGTGGTTTTTTATCGTCCAAGCTAGGTTCATTTCTCATCAAAGGTTTTAGTAAATGTATAAAGTTAGTACTTGAACTCGGGATCTTTACATTCATCTATTCAAATCACTTCATCTGAAAACTTAAGTCGTTACTAAAGGAGTGAATAGCCCAAATGGTCACTAAACTTTGCACCAGGTCCGCAAAAGGTCACTGAACTTTCAAAATTGTCTAACTCATCACTAAACTTTGCGAAAAGTCCACCAAAGGTCACTGAACTTTCAAAATCGCCTCACTCATCACTGAACTTTGCATTTTGTAATCTCAATAGTCACTCAGCTAACGGTCCATCCAAAAACTAACCGAATACTCACGTGGCTGGCTGATTTGGATGCCAAGTCAAACAAAAGAAGTAGAGGTGGATTTCTATTTGAATTAAAACATGTTTTATAAAAATAAAAAATTTGAAAATTCCATAAACTGTTGTAGCAATAGTCACCACCGTAAACATGTTTTATTTATATTTATTTTTATTATTATTATTTTTTAATAAAACATGTTTTAATTTAAATAAAAATCCACATGTACTTCTTTTGTTTGACTTGGCATCCAAATCAGACAACTACATGAGTATTCGATTAGTTTTTGGATGAACCGTTAGCTGAGTGACTAATGAGATTACAAAATGCAAAGTTTAGTGATGAGTGAGGCGATTTTGAAAGTTCAGTGATCTTTGGTGGAATTTTCGCAAAGTTCAGTGATGAGTTAGATAATTTTGAAAGTTCGGTGACCTTTTGTGGACCTGGTGCAAAGTTTAGCGACCATTTGGACTATTCACTCTTACTAAAGAGATAAAATTTGTATAATTGGTGGGGGCTTGTTTGGATTGGTCTATCGTTTTCATTGTCATGGGAAGGCATGGAATCCCTAGTGCGTGCGGGCCCCAAAATGGTTTTTGACTGGTGAGCTAGGGGGCACTGCACACCATTTCATGCCCAAAACTTGTCTCTTTGCTTAACCAATATAAGTTAATTACGACCCCACTCTAAACCACCCCTATAAGTACCCTTCAAATCCTTCAAAACATCCTCACAACCATTAGTGCAAAACTCAAACACAAATTCTCTTACTATACAACAAGTTCTTCCACTCAAGAACATCATGAAAATGAACAGCACCAACGTGGGAAACTCCAAAAGAAGGATTTCGAGCAGAGGCCTTGGAGGCCTCCTTAGAGAACAAAGGGCTAGGCTCTACATAATAAGGAGGTGTGTTGTCATGCTTCTTTGCTATCACGATTGATCAAAGCTTTCGTTGATGGACAAGGACGAGAAGAATTTACACTTTTTCTTACTTTTTCCAACTTTCTTAGAGTGTAAATAGCAATAGCTACACGTACTAGCTACAAGCTAACAATTTTGTATTGACCGACCTAATTCGGCTTCATGTATATTGTACATCCAATAGCTTGTATTGAAACGATCATTTTGATTTCATTACATATGTTAAATTCCTTTTCTTTTTTTCCATTCAATCTTTAGTCTTGATGTGATGATGAAAATCCAATTTTCTTCGATTTTTCGCAATATATATCTACTTTATTTACGTGGCAGCAAATACAAATTGATCAGTTAAATTTTTTGTTAAGTATTCGTTGAGCCAATTATGCAAATTTGCAGGTATAAACTTGGGATCTTGGGATTCATATTCATGTACCTGCTCAAGGTCAAAGCTTTTCACTTTGTCAAATTATACTTATCAAAATTGCTTCCTTCTTAATTATTATTGAAGTTCTTTCAAAGAATTCAGAATCTGGTGAACTGATTTATGAGCTTTTGGAAGGAATCAATTAAAAATAATTAAGGCTTATAAATTTCAATCTGAATTTATTAGAAAAATGTATATTTTTTGAGAGGAACAGCCTTCGTTGTCTATTCAGCTGATTGAGTGATGAAGTGCTTAACTTCTGGAGTTCGGAATAGTAACAAAATACAAGAGGAAATTGCATATTATTAATATTTAAGAAACTTTAACAGAAATTTAATTCTAATTAAAAATTTTGGAAACTCTTTTCTCATCAGAGTCACTAAGCTCTCTTTCTTTTTCACAATGATTAATCCGATGATTAATAATTATAATCGAAAAGGCAAGGTCATGCTAATTAGCTTTTAACATTTTAAAATCTTAATTAGAAGGTGTTTGATGGGGATTAAAATTAGATTTTTCAGTAGATTGTTATAAATTTTTTTGAAATGTGTAGTTGAAAAGTTGTGAGACACATAAAAGATATGATTAATATTGATTGTTTGACTTTGATTTGAATTAAAATCAGATTTTAATCAAAATCAAATAAACTAGAGCCCAATTTGGCCCAATTCTTTCCAAATTTTAATGGTTGGAATTGTTTTTTTTTTTTAAATGTGTGGTTGAAAAGGAATAAAAAGTTTTTTATTTGTGTGTAACATTAATTTATAAAAGATTGCATTATTGAAAATAAGAGAAAAAAAAAGAATGAGAAAGAAAATGGAGACAGATGAGGACTAATAATTTTTCAAAAGTATAGCATTATGATTGTACAAAATTCAATCCCTTTTATCAACAGATCAAACTATTTGTACCAACCTTTTGGTACTCTTTAAAAATGCAAAGTTTGTTAATTAATAATACCTTAAAAATTAATGATACTTTATGCCGTATTATTACCAAGTAAAAAAAAAAAAAAAAGTCAAAAACCGCCGATTTTATTCCGTTTAATTGTTTCTTAATTTCATATATCATTATCATTATTGACGTTTTCTAGAAACACAAATTATCTTAACATAAAATTAGTTGTGCTAATCCTAAGATAATCTTGTTTTTAGTTTCTTGTTTTCAACCAAACAGCACCAATTAATTTTAAAATTGTAAAACTATTTTATCCAAATGAATAACCCACCAAATTTCTGTCCTCATGTGCACAATTTATGTTTTGGTCAAAACACGTCTCGGCTTGTGGGCCCATCTCTACCTTTGTTGCAACTATGTTCGTGTAGGCAATGCGTAGGGTTGGAAAGAGACTTCTAATATGTGCATTTTTTTATCTTTTATTTTATTTATTTTAAGAGCATCTCCAATAATGTGGAGCTGCATATTATTATTTTTTTTTAAAAAATATATTATCTTTGTTTGGTATAGATTCAAATTAGATATTATTAAAATTGAAAAAAATAGGCATGCAAATTTCAAAATTGATTTACTCAAACGAACCACTATCTTGTAAAGACATATTAAGGGATAAAATTTCATATCGATTAAAGATAAAAATATAGACTAACTTATAAGGGTATGAATTACTCATTTTAATAAAGTTGACTTCTTAAAATGGAACTTTAAGTTTTATTAAAAACAAGATTAAGGTCATGTATGGTACACTAGATTAATAGAAAATACAAATCACGATAAAATATTTAAATATGTCCCTTTTATTTAAAGGAAAATTGTGGGCTTGGTTCAAGTTAGTTCACAGCTTATTTTTTGTTCTCTTTATTGTTTTCCTTCTTGTTCCATCAATTTCATTTTCTCTCTTCTAATTATTTATTCTATTTATTTATAACTAAAAGTAAGAGTCTAATCTTTCTACCAAAAAGTTTTTGTTCAGACCAACATAGCAATGCTACTCAATTAAAGTTATATATAGATGTAAGTGTTAAAATAATATCTATGCAGATTTATTGATAATATATTTTATGAAAAATAATTTTTTTAAGAATATATGATTAAAAAGTATGAAAAAATTATAAATTCACGTGTAAAATTATTTTATTGAAAGCCTATATAATTGAAAAGTAAATGAATTGTATTACATGTATATAACAATTTATATAATGATTTATTAATAGATGATGTGAGATGATTTAATTGGATCAAAATCACGTCAATTAATTAAAACCCGGTTTGAAATCCATAATGCAATTTAATAGTTAGAAACAGTTTAAATCCAAGAACAAGTGGGAGGGAATGGGGAAAGAAACAGTGTGTCAGTGAGGCTGGATAAGAGTTGAGTCTCCAATCCAAAATTCTGTTGTCGGCCATAAAATTGGTGGCATCTAATCTAAGCCAAAGTAAAATAGGCAACGTAACATCCTTATCCACCCCCACGTGCACTTCGACCCCACTCCCCATCTCTTTAATTAAATTCTCTTTTAATCATTGTAGGACTATTATATGTTGCATTATTAATTTCCCAATGTCATATATATATATATATATAGACTGAGAATTCTCTTGAGTGAGAGAGAGAGAGAGAGGTGTCTTCTAGATGGAGTGTACACTCGTGTCATAAGGTGTGAGGTGGATCATTCCATCCACATGTCATAAATTAATTGTGATAGATAGATCGAAGGGGATTTTATTAGTTTAAGAGTATTTTGGACCATGGACTAAATTCAATAGTCTTGTGGTTAATTCTCATTTTCTAATAATGTCATATTCGCTCTTAATCATAGTACAATACTTGGATTTGAATCCAAATTGTTTTGATTCTATAATTACAAGACTTCTTTACTTATTTTCAATTGGATTTGGAGAGCTAGAAAACATAGAGATGAAAAATAAAGAAGAGGTAAGTGGGAGAGTTCATTTCTCCGGTGAAATTCTTGGTTACTGCCGACAGTTCTCTCGATATATTCATTACTATTCCTGTGGACGGTGGTGTATGATCTGATGAGGTACAAATTCGAGTTCAACATCATAGGATACTCCATTGCTAGCGTTGAAGAAGTTTTGGATTGATTGGTTCGATTTTTACAATTTTGTGTGTTTATGTTTATGTATTATAGTTGTAATAATCATTTGTACATTACATTTTAAACTCTACATAAGGTATTGGGTCTAGTCCCGTAACAAACTCCACCCTCGTATTTCGTTATCATTATTGAGTGAATAAACCAAATGAAGATAAAGGTAACGTCAAGTCCTTGTTGCAATTGTAACACGGGAAAACTAAATGATTAGACAATGAAAGAGAAATATCTCATGCGTGATTTGACAAATGCACAAGATCAAACGTGCACTGCATATGTGCGGTACCGATTCATGCAACAAAATTTAGGTAAATTTAATGATGATGCAACATCGAACTACCGATTGCTGGATGCAAGCACTGGACCACACCAACTTGGATTCAAAGTTGAAACTATTCCAAAAGATAAAGTAGTTCATATTGGACGGATTCACAATTCTATATTTCAACTTAATTGGGTGTGGAGTTTTTGTTTCTTAATTTGCTATCTTTAATTTAATTTATATTAAAAAGAAGTGTTTTACTCTTTTGCCTTTGATAAATGAAATTAAGAGTTGACGGTTAAGGCAGGAGCTCTACTGGAAGGTAAGGTGCAAAGATGAGAAACGACTTGTTTGGTACTTTAACAGATTAGTTGGGGGGGCTTTTGAGCACTGGTCAGTTTGGGGCACAACCTGCGGTTTAACCTGTTTGCAGCTTGAGGGGCCAAGGTATAGACTCTAGGATTTAATCACTGTAAGGTGGATACCTGGATATAAAAAAAAAAAAAAAAAAAAAAAAAGAGTTGTTAAGAATATTAGGTAACAACGAACTACTAAGATTTAATCATGAATTATAATTGCCAGCTACTAAGACTTGTTGGTTAAAAATATATTTATTACACGATTTAGGTTAGACAACATAATCTGCTTTCTGATTTAATGTTTTTGCCCCCACGTGTGTCATTTGTTTTTAATGATTTCCTATAAATATTTGAATTTTCTTCCAACATGGGACATATATACACACAAAAGAAGATGCGGATTTTTTCTCGAAAAATAATGTTATTTGCAGTCACTCACTATCACAGTCACCCTACATGGATTACATGTGACGATTAATGATTTGTTGCATAAAATAATAAAAAACTACCACATTAATGTATCAAATCACTAATCGTTATGTGTATACTACATAGGACGACTACGAGAGTCAATGACTGTAAATAGCATTACTCTTTTCGAAACTACTCGAATTGAATTACATTCAAATCGAACTTGGTTTGGTTTCAATTAAAAAGGTTAATCAACTTTGGATTTTAGACTAAAAACGAAAGGTATTAATTCAATTATCAATTCTAATTATAGAAACGAAATTCTATTTGGTTTCGAATTATTTTGTAACTAGATGATACAATTATAAGATTTCTGCAACTTTTTTTGAACTTTCTTCTAAACATGGGAGTGGGGTGGGTTGGCTGCTCGGGGGTAATATAAAATTTTGATTTGAATTCCTCCTTAGCATACTAGGTTCGATTTAAGACTTTTAAGAGACTGCTTGAAATTATGTTAGCTTATGTTTCTAGTTAAATCTAGAAGTATTTCGTCACGTGCTTTCTAATTTAAAGAGGTTATGTACACTTGGCAATAATTTAAAAGCATTTGGCCATAATCTTCTTGAGATTGTATTTTTATCTTATCAAATAAGTGCACACGGGATTCAAGATTGGAATTGAATGAATTGTTCGTCAACGTTTACACACTAACGACATCACA